AGGGAAAGCGCGTAGTATTTGTATTTGTATGGAGTGTGTGGAATTTGTTTTGAAAAAAAGGACTGAGATGCACCTTCAAACAACCCACCCAACGGGACAATGTAAATAGAAATGTAAGTCACTCTCTGTACCGCTAGATCTTCGTTTCATTGTCCTTTTTTTAGTTAAAATATATATATAATATAAAAAAAAAGTAAAATTATTAGAGTGAAGAATTTAATTTGATTATTTTGTGACAAAAAATTTATTGGTATTCCATTATAATTTTAAAAAATTAAAAAGAAGTCACGTGGTATTCGATTAATATTTTAAAAGATTATTGTATAGTCTGTCCAAATCTATTGGTATTCAAATATTTGACAATTTTAATAAGTTTTCTATTGGTGTGGATTTCGTGAGACTTTTTAATGAGAAATATAAATAGGATGACTCTCACACAATCTCACCCTAATTTTTAGGATTTATTAAGATTTCTTTATTGCAGTGTCTTCTTCTTCCTTTGGCGGGTTTACCCTCTCAAAATCGGGTTCCATCGTGGGAGTTTCGTCAAAGCTAAAAAATAACATATATTTTGAGTAATTTTCATTACAAAACAACCCAGAAATAACAACTCAACCAGATTTTAATTTAATCCATCTCAAAATAGCAGATTTTGAGCAAATTTTTAGAGTTTTAAAAATAATTTTTTAAGCTATTGGTCGCAATTTTTTTTAAGCACAAAAATGTGTTATTTTTGTATTAAAAACAACATAAAACAGTGAGAAAATAGCAGTGAATAAAAATCCCCAAACTAATTTTTCATTTTACATCAATGACACAATATCGATTTAAAGAATGATTGAAACTTTCATAATATGAACTCTATGTTTAATAGCAATACATTCATGAATGAAATTCCTTCGCTATAAGAAACGATTTCAAACAATTTTTGTGTCAAACAATTAAGGTTTCAACATATCAATTGAAAATAACTTGAGAAATTTTTTAAAATTTCATGTAATAAAATATAGAAATTAAGATTCGAAATTTTCTTGGAATACTCAATAAAAGCATGCATATGATATGTGGTTATAGAACAAAAATCCATTTATAAGATCAATTGCAAAAAATTCCAAATGAAATTTTATCATGAATTTTAATTATTGAGAAAATTATATTAAGTTTGACTCTTTATTTGTTAATATCATTGTATTTCTTTGTTATTTTTTTATTGACTCGTGTAATTTTGAATATTTGTTAAAAATTCATATGATTTTTTAAAATATTATAAATTTATATTGTCCTTTCAAATCTAATAAATTTTATTAAAAATTTTTAAAATTAAATCTTATGAAATCTTAATTGTAAAAAAAGTCTTTAAAGTCCCTCCTCCAATTCTAATTAGTCTTTTAAAATCTATCAAAAAAATTATCTCAAAAAATCTTTTAAAATCCTAATCAAATACATCTCGTTAGAGATAAAATAATATGAGGTGATAAAACTTCAAATGAATGTTATATATTGTGTCAATAGGAAATGACTCACCTAAGTAATGTTTGATTGACATTCAACATAACCTAACATACGAATTTCATTTTATATTTAGTATATTTTAAAAATCAAACAGAATATGATATGGGATTAAAAAGTGGAATATATTAATTCTACTAAGAAAAATAATAAAGTCAAATAAAACCAAACAAAACGTTTTATTTTATTATTTTTATTGTTTTGGAACGTCGAATGTTATCCTAGTTGTTTTCTTGTTCATAACAAACACATCACTTAAGTCTAAATTTAAGAATTTTCCATGCCTATAAAATCTTATTAAACTTGTAGTTGTAGGCTTGTCCTAATCTTCAAACTGCTAGAATCATTCTTTCACCTTACGTTTTATTAAAAAAAAAGAAAAGGAAATTATAAGCTTGTAATAAGGATACTGGAATAAAATAACAGTGATTGAACGCAACTACTGGAATGTAATTGTGTGTTTATTTTTATTTTTTCTAATATAAATTATCCAAATCTTTTAATATTAGCACACTGTTGTGGGTTTTTCTATTATTATACATGCTCAAATCTGGGGAAATAACAATTATGTGAAAAATACCGTACGTCATGAAATATATTATTGAGTACACCAATTTTAAGTCTCCCTCAATCCTCAAAGATCAACTATGGCATTAGCAAACAGGCCAAGACCATAATGTCGAGAAAAGCCCACTCCGAAGCTTTGGACATTTTTTTTGTAGTTTGCATAAGGGTTATTTTTTTTGAGAGTTTTTATCATTAAATTAGTCTTTTGAAATTTTAAAATATCACCACCACATTTATATTTTAAGGACTAAAATAATAGCATAAAAATAAAAACTGATAATTAATTTAGTGAATTTTTAAAAACAAATAGTATAATAACATATTAATTACTAAAATACTAATTTAAGAATTTATTCTATTTCTCAAGTATACAAATATAAATCTTCTTAAGAATCTTAATCAATAGTTTTAGACAGTCACCCAACTTAAATTTAGAAGCTTTGGTTTGAGAAATTTTTTAAGGCTCTCTAACACTATCGCAAAACGTAGCAATAGACAATAGTAATAATTTTCTTAAAATAACGGAGTTTATTTTTTACAATTTTTCGGATGATAAACTTTTGAATTTATATGTAACAATTTATTAATATTCAATAAATTTAATTATGTTAGAAATGGAAGTGTTATTTGTTTCCTTATTTTAGGTTTTGGTCTGGGTTTTAATTGTAGGCACATAAGGGTTTCTATATATTGTATTCTCTTGTATTAATTCAATATAGAAATATATAATACAATTCATTCATATTCTTAAGTTGGTATCAGAGCTTGTATGAAGAGTGGATAATGCATCAGATCCATTTTAAATTTTTAGTTTGAATTAGTTCTTTACATGGTATCAGAGCCTCGTGTTCCGGTTTCGATCCTCATCGTCCCCCTACTTTCTCTTGTAAAATTTCTTAACACAAGTAGGCTGGACCTAGTGCATTATCCACCTTCCATGCCCAATGGATTTTTGTGTGAGATGGGTCATGCTAGAGATATATAAAACCATTAACGTAACTTCACCCAACAATTAAATCTTTTGAGTTAGATTGGTTCTTTACAAATTATGTGAATAATTATAAAATAATTAAATAACATGATAATATATTATTTTTTTGGAGTTACCCAACCTTAATTACCTCTTTGAGGTGAGTTGGCTCCCTCCGGTATCCCCACGAGCTTCGACTCTTTGAGCCGGCTATGGGACTAATCCGGAGTGCGGGGGAGCAGTGATGGCTAAAGGTTCAGCCCCCTCCCCAAGAATGCATTCAGCAGGAATCGAACACATGTCCAACCCCACTAACTCAGCATGATAATATATTATTAATGTAAATATAAAACTTATTTTCACCAAAAATTTAAAATACTTTAAAACTAAATTCAAAGAAATACTTTAAAAAATAAAGAGGAGGGATATTCTTACTACTAAAATTTTCTACTACACTCACTACCTATCTAATCATCATTGGATCAATATTTTCTCTTTTTTCAAAAAAAATTTAGCATTCTCTCTTTTTGATTCAATGGTGATTAGATATGTAGAAAATTAGTAGTAGAAAATTTTGGTAGTAAGAATATCTTTCCTAAAAAATAAAATAAATCCGAACAAGTGACTCCTCCAAGTACCATGTTTCTACTATATATATTGATATATAGAATTGTAACAAGGAAGACATCACTTTGTGTTGGAGCAAATTCAAATCTGTTATAACCTGAGGTCTATATTGTTCCCGTTACACAGACATAAACCACTCGTGTTAATTCTGCCCCTTTTTCTATAAACAAAAACCCATCGTTTTGTTCTTCACCTTTGTTACTTTGTTTTTCATTGTTCTCTTATCAAAGAATGCAATTTACACTTTAATTATAAAGTAAATACTACTTGTACTGACACACTCATAAGTCATAAGAATATTACGGAAAGAACAAACAAAATGCTAACAACACAAGAAAACTGGTGAAAGTTAACAGCTGTTTGCAGTCTGATTCAACAGTCCACACAAAAACCTTGAAAGTTTGGAAGATAAAAACCCGTATATGACTGTCTTCTTACATGTCCTTTGCGATGATCACTTCAAACCTGTAAGTCATAGGGCAACTACAAATCCTTGTCGTCTATATCTGGCCTCTTCAGTTTTCCCTTGCAAGACTACAGCTAGGAATGAACTACGAAAATTCTATAAATGCTTGCCTAAGAATCGAACCAGTAACTTCTCAACCACAACAGTTTATTTTTTAGGCACATCCCGCTTACCAACTGCTACACCGCTTGGGACTGGGGTTTTGCTTTTCATCGTTTCCTTCCCCTTGATGAGTGAATTGGTTGTAGATGTGTACTGATTTTTTTCAAAATCTTTTTTATTTGTGATTTATTTGTATGCAGAGCTTGTATAAGTGGGGCTCCAGCTCCACTTAGAGCCCGTTTGGATGAGTTTTTTTTCTTTAATAGTTACTTTTTTTAAGAAAAAAAAAAAACACTTCTCAAAAAATGTCTGTTTGGATGCCTGCTTTTAAAAAAATTTAAAAAAAAACAGAAGTCATAAAAAAAGCTAAAAACTTACTTTTTTCGGAAGCTAAAAATTTTAGTTTTTAAAAAAAGCAGAAGTAAAAAGCCAAATATTTTTTTCAAAAATCAAATATTTTTTTAAAAATCTAAATATCTGTAACTTTTATAGAAAATACTTTTAAATAAGAAAGTGATAAAAAGAACTTTTTTAAAAAGGCAATACAAACGAGCCCTTAGAGCCACGCCCTTGTGAACAATTTGTATACATCTTTATTGAATTAAAATGATGAATGACAAATAACCGCTGTGTTTATACTACTACGCAGGGTACCAGTAAAAGCCATGAGCATGTCGCCATATTGTTTGAGATTGTTAGATTATGGAACGATAGATTAAAGAAAATCAAAGAGAAAATAGAAGGAAAAGCATTGCATGTGATGCTAACTAAAACTTTAGAGTGGATAATGAGATAAGATTATACCTGCTTGTTATACTCTACAATGTGTGGTTTAGATTTACAAAACAGGATGCAGTCATGTTCCTGAAGAACATGAGAGAATCCTCATTCAAATAACCTGTAAGCTGAAACCTAAAGAACCATAAATTAAAGTAAACCACACTACTTATTTACCGCGTAACTAGATCGCTAAAGAAAAGCTTTAGGGAAAACTAAATTTGCAGTGACCTATGGTGTGACAGGGTTCATAAAAGGCCCCAAAAGAGAACATGTATATTTAATAATTATCAACGCGATTTAGAGGAATTTTCAGATCCACCGTAGCCATAAGGGTTTTTGCTAGCCCAATTCCATTGATCGCGGCACATATCATCGATGCCATGTTTAGCCCTGCAAGGAAATAAACTTGTGAGAAAAATAGTAATAATTCAAGAAATCTTGCCCAATTTTTTATCAAAAGATGAAAATATTTCCCGATATAATAGTCGCAAATTTGAAGAGACAAGACTTGAATGGACACAAAAGTATGCAGTCATTTAATATCACAAGCCAGGATAATCACAGGGATGATGATGAAAATGAACAAAGATCATAAATATTCAGTCCAGGCAAAAAATTTCAAAAAGGAGGGCCTTAAGATCAGTTAAACACCAAGAAATTATTCACTTTGAAGCAAATTAAACACCTACTTCCACTTAAGTTCCCTTTCTGCTTTCGCTGTTGATGCATAAACAATTTCAGCATCTCCGGGTCTCCGACCAGCCATTTCAAGAGGAATTTTCTGAACAACAAAAAATAATTAGTCATGTACTAAAGAATAGCTTAATCCAAATGTATTATAAATGAGCTCGTTTAAGATGTTTTTTTGGTTTTAGGAATTTAAAGAACCTAGACATGAAATTGAACGATCAGATGCATAGAAAGGGCAGTTGTCTGTTCTCTAAAACATTTCGTTGCCCACTTTCATGTTTTCAAAAACAGATTCAGAGGGACAAAACATGCAGTTGAGGTAAAAAAAATTCAGGGATGCACCAGGAAATGACAGTCCAAAAAATAACCAAAGTTTCAGCTTGCTTCACATTTCTTCCATTGCCTTGTATCTTATCAGAATACAACTGACCTTGTTACAAATCCATATGCAAAACATTTATATTAGGGGTCCAAATGCCAAAGCGCAAAATGATAAAATAACTGAACAAACACCACTCACATGAATGGTTACAATGTCAAATTCAAGATCCCGAAAAGAGAAAAAAAATACAGAGAATAAAAGTGAGCACCAAATTGCATTTATAAATGACACAAAAATTCACAGCAAGGGTTATAGCAACAGACACGAGACCAAAAATAGAACCATCAGTCTGTTACCTTTCCAGAAGCCTTTTCAAAAGCTTTAACCATCTCCAGAACTGATGTTCCCTTTCCTGTTCCCAAGTTATAAACCTCACAACCTGTATACAGACAGCACGACATTTTACCAAAACATTACATAAAAAGGAAGTAAAAAAAAAGGTGAAACAAAAATATTATCATTGGTTTTTAGGAATCAAACATCAGTTCACAACCATTGTTAAGGACACTGCTTACCAAAACGAACACACTAGAAAATGTTGGAAGAAAATAATAACTTTGGGAAAATACCTATTTTAGGATCATCCAGTTTACGTAATGCAGCAATGTGCCCATCTGCTAAATCAACAACATGAATGTAATCGCGAACCTAAGAAAAAGATAAGATCCATCCTGTAAGATCTTCTGAAGAAATCAAAGGTAGATCTTAGGAAATGGGAAATGTCCACTCATCATAAATATTCCAAACCAAAGGGAAAGGGTGGATAAGGTGTGAGCTTTGAATTCAATTTTTCAAGGTAGAAGTTCAGTAAAACAAGTCAAAAACATTGGAACATACTCCAGTGCCATCACTTGTCTTGTAATCATTTCCAAAAACTGTCAATGCAGGACGTCTGCCAACTGCTACTTGCTGAACAAACGGCATGAGGTTGTTCGGGATTCCACGAGGATCCTCACCAATAGAACCACTTGGATGTGCACCAACTGGGTTGAAGTATCTCAACAATATTATTTTCCATTCTGGCTCAGCACGGTAGATATCACGACAAATTTCTTCTATGATAAGCTGAAAGACAAACATCTCTTCAGATATCATTGCCAGATTCCAAGACAAACATTACTATCAGTAAATCCAACAAATTATGAAGATATGTTGTACCAGACCCCAATCCTCATTTCCAAAGATAAAATCAAAATCAAAACAGATTTTTTTTCCAAGCTGGCATCATTTCCAGTTTCATTATCCAATAAATACCCTAAACAGTTTCCTGGTCATACCTTGGTTCGTCCATATGGATTTGCTGCTGACAAAGGGAACTCTTCTGTACATGGAACCTCCTTTGGCCAACCATATACAGTAGCTGAAGATGAGAACACAAGCTGAAATCATTCAAGAAATACAAAATCTGTTCAATAACCAGATTGCAGCATCAAGAAAACAGAATGCGTAGTCAATCCCACAAGACACTTCAAGATAGCAGTACTATCAGGATACTAGAAGAAAAATCTAGACTTAATCTTAAAATAGCTTCATAGTGTAGCTTTTATTAAAAAAACTCAACAAATTAAGGACTACTAGACTTCATTTTGAGTGTACTGAACAAGGTGACTCTGATTCCAGTCTCACAAATTAAAATGCTATGAAAGAGTGACAACGGAGTATATTAATGACCTTCCTCCCATGCAGGACCAAAAACTAAAATATGAGGGAGTGGATCCTCTCATGTGAAAAAGTGGTCATGTGGTCATGTTATTTGATCAGAACCACTCATTGATGATGAGATAAGAGAGAGAAAAATGTATAATTTTTAAATGAATGATTGTGATCAAATAACATGACCACATAACTACTTTTCCACGTGAGAGAATCCACTCCCAAAATATCAACTTACCTTCTTACATCCATGGGCAGCCATGACTTCAAATAAAACTATTGTCCCAATCAAGTTGTTGTCATAGTAGAGTAGCGGTTTCTGCACACTTTCCCCTACTGCTTTCAGTCCAGCAAAATGTATGACAGCATCAAACCTGAAGAAAAGATACAGATATAATAAGAAACGGTCATACCTTGTAAGATCAGTGGTCAAGTAAAACTACAATAGAAGGTGAAGCACAGACAAGAAGTGAGCGTCTGCATAATCCTTACTTTGTGGAAGAAAAAATTTTCTCAAGTGCATCTCTGTCACGGAGGTCTAACTGCAGTGGGGAAAATATAATGAAAATAATCGGTCATCAGCATAGTAAAATAATTCAAAATATTCTCGATTTCATTCAGGCAACAAACTGTAAAATTATGCAAGTGAAGTACTTTTATGAATGTCTACCGCTGCTAAAATCTTTGTTACATATTACAAAAAAAAAAAAAAAAACTTTGTTACTAAGACATGCACACTACAAACGAAATGGCCCATATTAAACCAAATAACACTGATAAATGAACTAAATAATCAAAATCAGAGTCTGCAAGTAAACAGATAAAATTTTTGGCTTAAACACGGAAGAAACCATCAGGGGAGGTTAACAGAACAAATCGGACTTGAGAGGGAAAAACTTAAAAAAAAAAAAAAAAAAAAAAAGGCCGACCCAGTTCAAGACCCACTCCATGAGTGTCTGGAGAAGGGAAATTTGAGTCAAGACTCACCCCTGCTTTGCAGGGGAGCCGAGTCGAACCCCTTACCTACAACATCACTTACCGCTGAGCCAGGCAGAGGGAAAAACTTACAGAAAATAAAATTCTTATTGTAAATTAAATTAGACACCATAGAAAGCAAGAGAGCCAGATTGGATCCAATAACAGAATAAACCAGCCATTCTCCAAAATCATATAACATCAAAAAGTACATTAGCATTATGTACTTGTCGAGGTAATTGGGTAACAGACCAGTAAAGCACAGAACTTTTGCTTTTAGCTGTTGGTTGGACCCACGCAATTTATAAGGTGGAACGAGGCCAGCACAAAAACTAAACTAAATTAATAAAAAGAAAAGTTATATTTACAAATTTTTATTTACAAATTAAATTTTTATAAATTATATTATGTCTGATCGGTAGTATTTAACGTAGTTTATAAAAAAAATTATAAACAGATCCTTCTCTTAATAAAAATGGATAAATAACTTTACTTTATTTTTTTTCTTGATGTCTACTGCTTTCCAATACAATAAATTAGATGAGAATCTAAACTAATCTTTATAATTTTTCTTCCCTCTTAAAATTATGATTTAAGAGTGTTGGAAAGTGAAAGTAGACACGAACAAAATCCAAAGTCCCATAAATTAAAGCAATTGTTAAACCCAAATCAACAATCAAAAACCAAAATTGTAATCCTCTACAAACAAATCAAATTTTGAGGACCGTGCAACCAATCCAAATTGAGTTTTTTTAAAAAGAAAAAGAAAAAGAAAAAACTCAAAAGCAACGAGAGAAAGCGCCACACACCTTGTGAAAGGAAAGGTTATTGGCGAATTTTCCAGCGAGTTCCTTGACTCTGGTGATAGCCATTTCGGAAGAATTGTCGAGGTTGTCGATGACGACGGCCTTGAAACCGCCGAGAAGAAGCTGAAGCACGGTGTGGCTGCCGATGTAACCGGCTCCGCCGGTGACGAGAACGGTTTGGTTTGGCATAACTGAAGCGTTTCGCGAGAGAGAGAAAAAGGTGAGTGAATGCGTAAACGGTGTGATAGCTTTGAAATCGCAACAGAAGAGAGAAAAGGAGAGCTTATATATATAGGTGGCAGTGGAAAAGCGAGAGTTTGTTACGCGCCAGGACGTTTTCGGAGAAAGTAAGAAGTTTGTGACACGTTCATAAAGTTGTACATTACTACTTTGCTTTATTATTTTGTGGAAATTCATGTTTTTTATTTTTTATTTTTTATTTTTTAAATATTTGTAGTCGGAAGCTCCAGATCATCCACGTGGATTCCCAGTGTGTCTTGGTCTGATTTCGTCTTTGGCTTTTCTTATTCTGTCTACAGCAGTCACCACAATTTCTAATGATTGTCTTCTTTTTTTGTGAACATTATTTTTTAATTTTTAAGGGCAAGTTTTTTTTTTTTTTTTGGATTAATGATTGGTTAATTAAAAAAGTTCATGACAGTTACACTTCAAGGGTGGAGATTCTGTTTGTTGGTTGAGTGGCTACTGGAAAATGGAATTAAAGGGCACGATTTGTAAAACTTTTTTTAAGTAATTATTCTTGTTAGTTGTTACTCTTTTTGTTGGAAGGAGATCTTCTCGTGTTAAAAAAATATGATATGATTATGTGGATAATTACAAGGGTTCATTTTTTCTGCAGTTACTGCAGATAAGTTATCTGCAGTAAGTCAATACGATGTCGTTTTGAGGCGAAAATATGGTATTTTGTAATTTTAATTTATTTCAGGGTTATAATAGTCTTTATATTTATAATTTTTTGAGATTTCAATACCAAAACGACGTAATTTTGGGAATAAATGCAGAAACATTTTTCCCTAATTTTACAATCATATAAAAGAGAATCAATAGTATAAAAGAGGTGAGAGAAAATATATTAAAATAAACAATTACTAAATTATAAGTGTTGATTCAGTTTTGTATGATTATAATTATCCCATATGATCATGTCACTTTTTTTAACATGAGATGATATATTTCCATTTTTGTTTTACTCAATCTCATCTAAAAATCTAATGCTTTATTATTGGTACTAAAAAGAGTTATTGTTAGTTAAATGACATTTATTCGTAATTAAACAGTATTATTTTTTTACTATAAATTTCAAAAAAAAATTGGTAAACATAAATTGATATTTATTATTAGTTATTCCATATTTGAAGCATAAAATTCGTACAGAATTTATTAAATGAGGATAAATTAACTGGGCCTCTACAATGTGTTGACCAAAAAAAGTTGAATCATTGATTGTAAAATTGTTCTTATACTAATTCATTAATAAAATATATTTTATACCTAATTCAATCCTATAACTAGGTAAATGTATTTTCACCAAAAAAAAATGTATTATTTGAGTACATGCATGTTTTTATGTATCACCCGATATCAGTACAATTGTTTCCATTTTAATTACTAAAACACTACATGTGAATATGTAATTGGGTTATGTAGTTAATGCAGATAAGTTATATGCATTGAGCTCAAAATGACATTGTTTTGGGGCAAAAATCAAGGTATTTTGATAATTTTAATCTATTTCAGTATTATAATAGTCTTTATAATTATAATTTTTTAATATTTCAACACCAAAATAACGTCATTTTAGACGTAAATGCAGATAACTTATCTGCAATAACTGCAGAAATATTTTTCTGTCTGTAATTTTCAAACATTGTTAATAATGTATCTAAAATTTTCTCCATATTTTTATTTACAAATTTATTTCAGAACTTTTTTCTGTAGTATAACCCGCTACTATTGATCAAAATAAAATAAGTGTTCAAGATAATTTATGGGCATTTCTTTTCTCATGTTACATGAGATAGCAGTGTTTTATGTAGAGACATGATTAGGTGGGTCCCACAATTAAAAAAAAATGAAAAATGTAAAAGAAATGCTGGCTCGGATTTCGATGTGTGTGTAACATGATAAAAATATTTACCATAATTTATTACTCAAAACTTTATTTCAGTTATTAGGAAATATACTTAGGGTTCTATTTTTTTCATGTTGATGGAAAAAAATTAATTCATGCAAAAAAAATTATATATTATGCGTAGCACATAGTAGGGTGTTCGCGTTCTGGATTGGAACAGTTTTGAAACAAAAAATCATCTGATCCAATTCCTTCGGTTTGATCATTTAATCATCTATTCGGTTTAGATTTTTAAATCTGATCCAATCCAATCCATTTTTATTTGATTTGAAATCGGTTTTCGGTTTTTCAAAAAGTCTAAAATTTGAACCACACAAATCACAAAGTATATCAAAAAAAGCCATTCAAAGTTATAAATCACTGAAAATTCAAATCTTCAAAGTAAAACAAGTGTTAAAACTCTTGAAGAGTTAAAATAGATTAATAGACAATAAAAAACTAAAACAAGACTGTTGCTATCAATAACATCCAAGATTCCAAGTCTAAAAAATAACGAGTTTTCAAGTCACCATCTTTCAAAAATAATAAATAAACAATACATTGGATCGGTTTGGATTAGATCAATTTTCACCAACCAAACCGAAAACAGATCCAATCCAATTAAATTGTGAGATTTTTTTTCGGTTTTTGATTAATTCAGTTTAGGGGTGATAAACGAACCAGGAGCCTTTGGCTCGGCTCGTGAAAGCCTGAGCTTACCTGCCTAAAATTGGTTGTTGGAACCAGGCTTGGACTTGTATATAAGTTCGTTTAATAAAAAGGCCTCGGGCTCCAATTCAAAAGCTCGGCCTTAAAGCCTATCAGGCTGACCTAGCATATTAATTTTTATTTTATTTTATATTTTTTATACTACTTGTAATAGCTTTTTCTCTCTCCTCAATCCATTTTGACCCAATTTATTGGTTAAATATACTTTTTGAAAGATTTTGTTCCATATTATGATGTTTGGATATACATTGAATTTATGAATATTTATGAAATTACTAGTGCTTTTGATTGTATATTCTATTTGGATACATTTTTGTTGTCTTATTTTTTTTAAACAGGCTAACAGGTTCAATAAAGCTTTTATTTTTGTAAATAAGTTAGGCCACATGCCGATAATTATATTCATAACAAGCAACAAGCTTGATCAGACTAACACATTTAAACGCAGGCTTAGCCTTTTAAGATCAAAGCTCAGCTCGGCTCGGCCCGTTGACACCCCTAATTCAGTTATCGATTTTATAATTTGGTTATCGCGGTTTGAGTCAATTTGGATCAATTGATGAACACCCATTAGAGGTGGTAATATGGGTTGAGCCCAGCGGATCAACCCGCCAAAACGGTGCGGGTTGTGTTGAGGTTTTCAAGCCACCAACCCACTTCAACACGCCCCACTTAGAAGTGGGTCAAAACGGGTTCAACCCGCTGGGTTGTAATTTTTTTATTTTTTTACAATTAGGTAGTATTTCATTTGTCATTAAATTTTTGTGATATCCAAAGTTTTTTTTATCTTAGTACTTCCTAGAAAAAATAAAGAATAACAATTTTATTTATGACAAATGTTATTTATATATGCAGACAAATGAGTTCCTAAAGAATGTTTGACAAATATTAGTATACATTTAAGATTGAGATTGAAAAAAATCAAATGAAGTGTAAAATAAAATAAAATAAAATTAGAAAAATTCATAAAATATAATTTATATTTGAATTTTAATTAATTTTTAATTGGCGAGTTGATGGATTGACCCGCCAACTCACCAACCCACCATAAAACGGGATGAGTTCATTTTTTCAGCCCATTTTTAATGGCGTGCCAACCCGCTCCGTCTCGTTTTTGGCGAGTTGGTGGCGGGGCGAGTCGGGGCAGGCCAACCCAAATTGCCACCCCTAACACCCCTAATACATAATTATAATGGTAAAATTATTTTTCTCTCTCCGCCATGTCAGCTGACAATGTCCAAGGAGAGAGAAAAATAAAACAGCTTTAGTATTACAACAATGTACTACCCGTAATACATATTTTTTTTGCACAAGATATTGTTTTTTCCAACATCTTAGTTCTCAAAATCTTAGGGGTGTATTGAATTGAGATTTCAAAGGATTTTAATGGATTATTTTTGGACAACAAAATCCATTGGTATTCAATTAGGGTTTTAAAGGATTGAAAAAAAAAAGTCACGTGATATTCTATTAAGATTTTAAAAGATTATTTTAGAGTCTATTCAAATCCGTTGGTATTTAATCATGATTTTAAACAAAGGAAAAAGAATCTTATGGTGTTCAAAAATCTGACGATTTTAATGAATTTTTTTATTAATGTAGATTTTGTGAGATTTTTTAGTGAAAAATATAAATAGGTTGCCTCTCTCTCATTCTTACTCTAACCCTTAGTATTTCTTGAGATTTATTTATTACAGTGTCTTCTTCTTCTTTTAGCGAGTTGATCCGCGCGAAACCGGTTCCGCCATTAGAGCTTCGTCAAAGCTCAAAAACAGCAAATTTTAGAGCGATTTTCATCATACAAAAATTCAAAAAATAAACAAACAAACAAGATTCTAATATAATTCGTCTTAAAAACAACAGATTTTTCGAGAGCTTTTGAAAGTTAAAAAATGACTTTTTAAGCTATAGGTCGCGATTTTTTTGGTACAAAAGGTATTATTTTTGTATTAAAAAAACATTAAACAGTAGAAAAATAACAGGGAAAATAAAATCATCAAACCAATTTCGATTTACATCAATGAAATAAAATCAATTTAAAGAAAGATTGAAACTTTCATAATATAAATCATATATTTCGTAATAATACATTCATGAATGAAATTCTTTTACTATGAGAAACAGTTTCAAACAATTTTTGTGCCAATAGATGACAAAAAACTTGTTTTTCAAAAGTCCTAAAGCAATTTAAGGTTTTAAATGTATCGATTGAAAATAATTTGAGAAATTTTTCAAACGTTCATGTAACAAAATCCAGAAATTTAGATTCGAAATTTTCTTAAAATATTCAATGAAAACATGTATATGATATATGGTTAGAAAACTCTCATCTCATAGAACTAAAACCTCGAGGTTTCCAAGATGAATTGCAAAAAATT